TACGATTGTTTCCCGGAATTTCTATATAACACTCCGGATTTAAATACCTATTTGTCACAAAAATTTTCCCAATTAACACTTGATTCTTATTTTTTTTTTTCCTTGAATAAATGGCTTCTAATACGAGCGATATCCAAATTGGTGTTGACGAATCTCAACAAGAGATGAATGTCACTACAAATCCAAATACTTTACCCACCAGTACTACTGTTTCAAGTGAATCTAGTAAACATAGTCGCAGTGGGAGCGGAACGAATAAAAAACCACCTCCAATTCCTCGAAAGTCGGAAAAAGTTCTTCAATGGCAGAGAACTTCTCAACCTCCACCGGTAAAAGATCCAGAAGCAAGAAAGTCATTATTAAAGAATTCAAGTCCTACTAAAGAGGAAGTAATGGATGGTGCATTACAAGAATCGAATGGTGCAGAAGCCAAAAAAAAATTACAAGAATCAAGCCATACTGAGGAGGAAGTAAAGGATAGAGTATCACAAGAATTATTATTAAAAGATTCAAGTCATATTAAAGAAGTAAAGGATGGTGCGTTACAAGAATTAGATGGTTCAGATACCAAAAAAACAGTATTACAAGACTCAAGCAATATTAAGGAGGAAGCAAAGGATAGTTTATCGCAAGAATCAGATGATCCAGGAACCCAAACAACATTACAAGGTTCAAGCCCTATTAAAGAGGATGTAGAGGATAATGTATTACATGAACCAGGTGGTTCAAAGACCAAAAAAACATTACAAGATTCAGAGACCAATACGGAGGAAGTAAATGATAATGTATTACAAGAATCGGATGGTCCAGAAACCAAAAAAGCATTATTACAAGATTCAAGCTCTATTAATGAAGAAGTAAAGGATAATGTATTACAAGAATCTGATGGTCCAGAGACCAAAAATACATTACAAGATTCAAGCCTTATTAAGGAGGAAGTAAAGAATAATGTATTACAAGAAACAGGTCCTGTTAAAGAGAAAGTTGGGGATAACGTACTACAAGATTCAGATGGTCCCGAGACCAGAAAATCATTATTAAAAGACTCAAGTCCTATTATAGTAACTGGTAATCCAGAAAATTATGTCCCAAGACAAAATGCAGAAGCATCCGAAGGAAATTTAATCCCAAATCAATCGGAAATAAAAGGTAAAAGTGTTTTCGATGTATTATAAAATTAGTTCAATAATTAATTTATAATTAAATTCTAGATACATATTCAAGTTATACTGAATTAGCGAATAATCCGGAGATTGATTCACAAAAGCGAAAGCAAGAAGATTCTTATCCAATTAATAATGATAAGGTCTATAGTTTTGAAGAAATTAGTAAACAATTAGGCTTTTTCGATAACGATACAGGTAATGAGACTCAACAGCCAGCGACCAATGAAACCGTTAGTTATAACGAGACTCAACAGCCAGCAGCTAATGAAACCGTTAGTTATAATGAGACTCAACAGCCAGGGGCTAATGAAGTCATAAGTTTTTATGAAATTCAAAAACATTTGAAAGAGAAAGAGAAAGGTATAATTGATGATTCACAAAGCATGCCTGCCCCTTCATCTGGCATGCATGCCCAGCATATCATTGAGGCAGCGATAAATAAAAAGATTCCACCTTACACGAGTAATCCTATAGCAGTATCACCTAAAATGAGCATGCCTCAACCTTATCCATTGAATGTTGAGACAAATAAAAATATTCCACCTTTTGCTAGTAATCCTGTGGCATTATCATCTGAAATTACTCAATCTAACATAAAAACGTCAGCTGTAAAAGACACATTCACTCATCAATTTAATGATGAGACAAATAAAAATTTTCAAAATAATCCTGTGGCAGAGGCAGATAATGAGACTAATAATCCCGCGACAACTTCAGCTGTAATAGACACGTCCAGTCATCAATTTAATGTTGAGATAAATAAAAGTATTCCACCTTTTGCAAATAATCCTGTGGCAAAGGCAGATAATGAGACTAATAATCCCGCGACAACTTCAGCTGTGATAGACACGTCCAGTCATCAATTTAATGATGAGACAAATAAAAATTTTCCACCTTTTGCAAATAATCCTGTGGCAGAGGCAGATAATGAGACTAGTAATCCCGCGACAACTTATCAATTTAATGATGAGACAAATAAAAATTTTCCACCTTTTGCAAATAATCCTGTGGCAGAGGCAGATAATAATCCCGCGACAACTTCAGCTTTAATAGACACGCCCACTCATCAATCTAATGTCAATATACATAAAAGTATTCCACCTAGAATAAGCACATCTCAATCTAGCATTGCGGCAGATAATGAAAAAATAGATCCTAGAGCTTATCGTACTGATCCCAGTGAATTTCGCGTCGATTCCAAAGATTTTCAACCTGGCGACGAACGCACATACCATGACGATACAGCTGATGTTTCTACACCACTCATTCAGATCGAGAATGCAGAGCAGAACACTTCAAATTACAACAGTCTTTTAGATTTTAGCAACGTACCTTCCCCTACTAAAGAGTTAATGGATGATCCTAACACTACTAACATTTCAAATGAAAACGACGATTCTGTCTCAGAATATATCGATATTCGAAAACTTGGTGCAAATAAATATCATCCTCATGATGATGATTCCACAGTTACACTTCCAATTCCAAGCCAGTTATCGACAAAGATTACAAATGAGGGTTCCACTTTGGGTAGTTCCACACATACTAATTCGGATCATGATAACGGTTCTCTTGAACATACCGAAAAAGTACTAACAGAGAATAATAATCCAACCACTTCAAATTTTGATATCATTGATTACCAACCGTCTCAACAGTACCAAACTCTCCAACCGAGCGAACGTTCTAAAGAAAAGCAAGGGCTTCTTTCCACGGCTGTAAAAACCGTAAATTCATTTATATTTGGACCTAAAGATGATGATAAATATGCAGGATTATCTCAAGTTACATTTCATGTGCATTTACCGCAACACATTGAAAAACACGGTGAACCGGTGATAATGGGTAATTGTGAAGAATTGGGAAGTTGGAAAATGATTACAATTCAATTGACTCAACCACATAAACAAGAATATCCAACTTATTGGCGATCACATCCTGTAGACATTCGGATAGGAAGGAATGATATTAAATATAAGTATGGTATCGTTAACCAAAGCAGGCGCACCATAGATTATGAAGGAGAGGATGAGAGACAAAACCGCATTTTGGACACAAGTACAAATGATCAGTATGACATATGGCAAAACAATAGGAGGCATAATATGTTTGGTCTTAAGGAATTCGCATTCGTTAAATGTATCTATGATGGTGTAAATAATGAAAACCTTAAAGATAAAGTTATGCAATTCCAATCATTGTTGGAAAATCATAGTAATCACACAATAAATTCCATTACTATCGAGTTTATAATGCAACGCTATCAGGAAAAAAGAGAGAAACGACTTTTTTTGTGTGTTCTCTTAGGGTATTATCTTAAGTACCGTAGGGATCCATACGCTTACACTCCTCAATTGCCAACACATTTTCGATCTGATTGTTTACTTGAAGCACTCCAATATGTTCAATATGACACATTCCCATCTAATATTAAACTTATAATGGCTCCAGTTGTTGTTGCTTTAGTTCGTCATAATGCTATTGTAAGGAGGTCATTTGAATGGCTTAGGATCTTTCGGGTAGTGCAGTTTCTTGATCCGAATTATGCCTTTGTCGATGTATTTATGGGTGCTCGTTATGATGATAAACAAATATCCAACTTGTTAAAGGAATGGCCGAAAATAGTTCATCCTTACTTGGATCAAATAGATGATCGTGTTTATATCAAAATTGCCAAGGTATAATTTTTATATCTTGCTTTTAATTAGATTATTTAAAAAATCTTAATTTATTTGTTGTTTTTGCAGTGGTTGATTTCTTTTTGCTCAAATATGGAGACTCTTAATATAATATGGCGTGATTGTATTTATCATACACCAAGTATTGATCGTGAAATTGCAACTGATTTCGACGGAACTGTGAATAAAATTATTGCTCATGACAATGCCAGTGCTTTGTACGCGAATTTTACTAAAGTTATTCCAGAGTACCGGGATATGGTTGCTCATCTTTTCCGTGAACGAATAATCAATTTACTCAAGAATCAGCAGGGCGGTTGGGACAAAAATAATTTGTTGGCGTTCGAAAAACTTCTTAAAGATAAACAATTATATTTTGAAAGAGAGGATTTTCTTAGTGTCTTAAATTATGTTTCTCAATCAGCGGTTTTTAATGTATTGAACATGTTTCCAGAGCTTCTAGAATATTGGATTAACTCTAGATTTTCAAATACTAGATCATCAGAGGTTATAAACATATGCCAACAATGGTTTACACGTATCTTATCAACGCTAAATTATAATCATAACATGCCATTAAATGAAGGTGGAAGATTTATATGTACTATTTATGAGCATTTACTACGCTTACAGTCTTTACTATCGGATAAATCAAAGATTTACCAGGCATTGTTACGTATTGCTGAAGAACGAATTAAAAAATGTTCTCACAATCATATTCTCTTTGCAACAGTTCAAGTAGCGACGCTTAACAAAACTATTACCACACAGTTTTGTAACCTGGTAACTGAAAATGTTCTCGTTGCTAGAGAAATTCGGAATATAAATAATAATATTATGGAGATGATACGTTGGATTTGTGGTCAAAATAATAAAGTAAATTTAGACAATTTAGATGTTCCAAATGGGTAAGGTGTTTTATAAATTAATAAATGATTATTTCGTTAAATATATTAATATGTCTAATAAAAGCTTTATTAAATAGCATTAGCGAAAGCTTATTATGCCATATTATGACTTGTTTGGAAAATCACACTTCTCAGAGTTATACCAGTGATCAACAATTGGATCTCATTAAACACACGAATTTCTGGCGAGTGATTTTTAATGCAAGAGGCAATGTCGCAGTTTTACATAAACATTCCTATGTTATGAAAATGCGCACAGCCATTTCTAATTTAGCAAGCTCGATTGTTGATAAAACTATCGATATTAAAACACTACAAGCAATTTTGTCAAAATATGATAAGGACCGACAATTGTCCGAATGTCTTAATGTTGCTAATAGTCCTAATGCCAAAAAAACATTTCAAAGTGTAATCATTAGCGAAAATAATATTTCAGCCGTTCGCAAAGAGTGCAAGACATTTGAAGACAGGTTTAGACATCTTAAGGCTTTTTATAGCACTTTTTGTCCACCAGATAAAATTGTGGATTCGGAGCTGTATACTACTGATTTAGAGGGAAAATTAAAGATGTTGTCGAAGGTACAGCTCAAAGAAGCTATATCGTCACGTTACTGGGAACGTCATGAAGATTTAATTCAGAAAGTGGCAGATACTTATGAATATGCAAATTCAATGACTTTTACTAACATTTACGAAACGCATTTAAGTCAAATTACTGATGAAATACAAGTTGATTATGTTATTAATACTTTGATACCTGCAGTGCGTGAAGAATATGTTAAAATATTCAAGAAATATAAAGATAAGAAATGGGAGCAAATTAAATATTCCGAAGCATTTCCTTTATGGAAGGGTGTTGATGATGTAAAGACAGAGTTGGAATTAATTAATAAAATGGTTTATTTGGGTAGAAATAATCAAGATCTAGAAAATTCTATCAAACACCTTTCTGCTATACCAAAATGGGAAGAACGACTTCAAAAATTATCTGCAGTTGTTGAAATTTTTAATGTGTCCGTTAAAACCGAAGATTGGCTAGGAAGATCTTTGAAAATTTTAAGAGAAGACGTATTAGTTTTAGGAAAGGTCGTCGAATTTGTGAAATATTGTAAAGATAGTAATCCAACAGATAATGAAAATTATTGGTTATTGATTAAAGAGTTATCATCTGCTAGCGACCTTGTGGAATTTCTTCAAACCATAGCTGAAAATGATATTAAGAATTTAATCAATGGTGTAGACGATTTTTCTGATGAACGGTTAATTCAAGCAGATACTGTCTCATCGCTCATTCAAGTTAAGCAGTCGGTCGTGCAATTAATGCACAAATCCAGTAAAGAATTTTTGGGAGTTTTGCTTAAAATTAGTCGAGAAAATCCATCTTTGCCTAATAAAATCACAGTATGCGCTGGCTTTAATATGGCTTTACAAAACATGTATGTTATTCCTTTAATACTATAAGTAATGCATATGTGCTCCTGCATATTTACACATTGATTATTTTTCTTCAGGCTTAGGAACATCTCAAATAGAGGAGAAGTGACGAAAGAAAAAATCCAAAACGCTGTATTAAGAGGAACTTATACTTTCGAAAAAGATGAGAGGAGTGATAAATTTAATGTAACACTAGTATATCAAGCTAACAGATCTGGCGAAATGAAACACAACATTTCTGATTTGCTAGATTTACGTGGACGCGCTCTGCTGATTGCAAAACCTGCTAATATTAGTACAGATATTGAAGAGGAGAATTCAAGAAAAATAATGAATGAATTTGTATCGCAAGTAGATACGGCTCAAGAAATTCTTAGTGTTGGATATAAACTTATCCAGATGGGACATTTTGACTATAGACGATTTAAAAAAGAAATTAGAGGAACTGAGAAAACTACAGAGATGAGGGCTTTGTTAACAAAGCTTAAAGAAGACTTACAAAACTGGTAATACAGTAAATCTTTTAATGTACTCTTTATTATAAGATCATTTTACAAATATTCTCTGACTTTAAATTATACAGGAAACAAGTAGTAGATGAAGCACAAGAAGAACATTATTATTTAACATTCTTTCCTGCTCGTCATATTCTTGCCTTTTATGACTACTTTACATCTGATGTACAAGATGATGAAAACACAGAGACCTGCAGAACTCTTATAAAGTTTGTTAATAGCAAAGCAGAATTACCCTCTCGGAAAGATCGCTCAGGCATTTCACGCAAAAACACCGATTATTCTCGTACACTTAATGAAATTGGTAAAAAATTGCAGACTATTTTTGGAAAATCATTAAAAACATCATCGCGTGAACTTAAAGTTAGAGGTGAACGTATTATTGCTGATGTTGTCGATAAGGGTAAATTATGTGTTGCCTCATGTAATGATCAATTACGTGTACCGAATATTATTATGAGTTTGTATGCTAACCATGGGTAAGTCTTTATATTTTTATTGTTCATTTTAAATTTTAATAGAAATCTTAATTAATTACTACTACTGTATAAACATTATAATAAATAGCGCCTATCCCGAACCGTGGCAAATATTAATTTGCACAAAATCTACGACTATCGAAGAGCTTAGCATTTTTATTAAGCGCTGCTTTTTTGCCGCAAAAAATGGATATAAAGAGAAGTTATTTTGTATTGCGAATTTGGAACTACTGGAATTTGAATTGCAATATGGTCTAGTGGAAGGTATTCGGTCAATGCGTGAGAAACAAAATGATTATTATTTAGCATTGGTGTGTTGTCGTGATGGCTCGTTCCATCATCATATATTAGATCAATTTTCCCAAGATGTTCATTCGACGAATGGTCTTAAAGCTGAAGCCATGAAAACTATTTATCGCGATCTATGCAGTAATGTTATTTGTGTTTCTTCTGATCTATCTGGGCAAGGCAAAACTGAATGGATTAAACAAGCCAGTTTTGAAAAAAAGAAATTGCTACGTAGTTTTTTAATTAGTGATGGTGCAGATTTTGGAAGTCTGGTTCGTCAACTTAAGGATTGCAAACTTAAACCATTGGAAAGCTTACATATAAACATTATATCGGCTGATAATTCCAATGAAATCAATATGTTCTTATTTGAATTATTGACATTAGGATTTGTTTCTAGTAATGTTGTTATAGCAAGTCTTCCACAAACAACTGTATTTATTGAGGTCGCATCAACTGTTCAGCAGAAACTTCTTAACTCACTTCCGATAACTGGTTATTTAGTAAAAGAACATTTGTCATGGGATATTCACCGTCTTAATGTATCATCTGAGTTATGTAGCCCAATTCAAATTGTGTGTAATTACTTAGATGCATATGATAGGCGTGAAGTTGATGTGAGAGATATCGTGTTTCATGGACAAACCGGCATTAAAAAATCGTTACCAGATAAAAGGTGTCAAGATTTAATAGCAAAGTACTTTTTTGAAGGAAATTCTGATGGTGTTTCTTCATTCCGATTTGTAGAAATATTTGTTAATGTACTAGCGGATCAGCTTATTCGCCTTTCATCAAGCGCTTATTTTATCGTAGAAAATTTAAAATTGATGATTAATGATGAAACATCATTAAGAACAACATTGGTTGATACACTAATTGATATTTCTAAGTACTTTGCGACCAGATCAGTAAAGGCTAAAGAAGCACAATTAGAATCGACATCTGATGATTATGATACGAAATTCGAAATAGTTCAATGGGATGCATCCAATCATCTTTTGGTCTTTTTCATGTCTCAAAATCCGGATTCGATTTGTGCTTTATATCGTGATAAAAATAAAGTTCCTGAAAATGTTAAAGAATTTCTTAAAAGTCAATATATTGCTGGCCCAAGCAAATGGGAATTAGAAGATTACAATCGGATGCAGTCTAAATCATTATTAGAGAAACTTGAGGGTTTAGCACGTCAAACGACCAAAAAGATTGATCTTCCTCTGTATGCACTATCAGCTGATAATTTAATAAAAATGGCATTGATATTGCTAAGATCGCGTGCGAATGTTCCCGTTGTCGTTATGGGAGAAGCTGGATGTGGCAAGGTTATTAATTTTTGTCACACCTGATGTTAAGATAGACTGATGCTGAGATTTGAGACCTCTCTTTAAATTTACTAAATCTACTGAAATCTACATATAATCTCATTAATAATTCTAAACCTTAATTAGCTTTAAGGAAAAAAAATTTTAAATTTCCTATTAAAATAGGCTCAATTCACAGCATCAGCAATAATTTTTAGACGAGTAATTATTAATTTGTATAATTTTATAATATTTAGTCTAGTTTAATAGGATTCCTGGCCAAAGTAGTTGAGGTTAATTACGAACCATTCAATCTACATGCAGGAATTAGGGAGCAAGATATATTAGATTTCATGGAGAAGGCCCAGAAAAGAGCTGATAATGACGAATTGTGGTTATTCTTTGATGAAATTAATACTTGCAATCACATCGGGTTGCTTGCAAATTTGATAGCACATCGTACACTTAAGGGAAAGTTGGTGCATCCTAATATCAGACTTTTTTCGGTAATGAGAAATCAACTTTAGTAAAATATGGTATCCATTGTGCATATTATATTAATAAATTTTGTTATTTTTTTTTAATAAGGCATGTAACCCTTATCGTAGAAGGATCAAATCTCAAAGTCAAGCCGGAATTAAACCCAAGGTTAGAAGATATGAAGAACAAAGTAACCTTGTATATCAAGTAAAACCACTTCCAGATCAAATATTAGATTATGTTTGGGATTATGGTGTTCTCCTTCCAAATGATGAAAAAAAATATATACAAATAATGGTACAAACAAAATTAGGAGAAGGGCATGAATTACTTACAGAGCTCTTATTTACATCGCAGCAATTTATTCGTTCAATTGAAGAAAAATATAGTGTTAGTTTGCGTGATGTAAAACGAGCAATTAAATTAGTCGAATTCTTCAGTAAAAGTCTTCAAACTCGTCCAAAAATCTCGAAAAATCATCCCTACCCACCTCATCGGGAAAATTCTGGCCGTATCAATTTTACAGTTCGTTGTTATATTTTATCAATTAGTCTTTGTTATCAGTCTAGAATATATGAACAAGAATTACGAAGTGAATACCGCAAAGAAATGATTAAAGTTCTCCAAAGACAGAAAATAAACATTAAAGATGAAGATTTTACTGGAATAATACGAGATGAGCAAGAAGATTGGGTTAGAAGAATGCAATTGCCACCAAATACTGCGATGAATGAAGCATTATTAGAAAATGTTTTAGTGATGATCGTTTGTATTATCAACAAGATCCCTGTGTTTATTATCGGTGCCCCTGGGTAAAGATTTTTTTTTTTTTTGCATTATCAACTTAGTTGTTCTAACTAACTTCATACATAACTACTAACTTACGCATTAGATCATCAAAATCCTTAGCGATTAAACTTGTAGGTCAAAACCTACGTGGATCTGATTCAAATGATAAATATTTTCGAAAACTTCCTCAGGTTTAAATCACTGTACTTTTTTATTTTTGTAGTCACCGATAATATTTGGATAAGATTTATATATTTTAATTTAAATGCAGGTATACCTTATTTCTTATCAAGGATCGTCGTCTTCCACTTCGGACGGTATTATTAAAGTTTTTGACAAAGCTATTAAATACCAAGAAACCAGTTCAAAAGATTTTTTGGTGAACAGTGTTGTTGTTCTTGATGAAGGTAAGATTATTAATTTTCTTCTTTTTATTTAATTTGGCGTTTAATGTTTAATAATTTGTTGCTATGTAGTTGGGTTGGCTGAAACTAGTCCACATAATCCGCTTAAAGTACTTCATGCATTACTTGAACCAAACTATCCGTCTGATGGGCCAGCAGTTTCCGTCGTTGGTATCAGTAATTGGAGATTAGATAACAGTAAAAGCAGCAGAGCCTTATTAGTTCAAAGGTTAGCTTATTTTATACTTTTCTTATCTGCTGTATTATTATGTAATTTATGGTTTAATATATCAAATTAATATGACTCAAAACGTTAGACCTAAATTTGGTATCGAGGATCTTGTCGATACGGCGGTTCGTTTACTTGATTCTAAATTACATAACTCCATAAGCCGTGCCTCACTTCGGCCACTTGCGGAAGCCTATTCAGAGTACGAAGGATGTGGACAATCACATTCTAACTTCCACGGTCTTCGAGATTATTATGGATTAGTAAAAAGTTTATCGAATTCTGATCTAACCCCAGAAAATGTTCAAATGGCATTAGAAAGAAATTTTGGTGGCACTGATCGAAATGAAAACCCTTGTGAAGCATATTTCGATACTGTGTTAAAAACATTTAATAATTATCAGAATTGGACATATGATCCAATTCCAACATTAACTTTGATTAAAGCTAATTTGGATGATGAGAGTGCAAGACATCTTATGGTTATTGGAAAAAGTGATTCTATAGTGACTATTTTGACATATCAATTAAAAGAGAAAAATTTAGATCCAGTGGTTATTTTAGGATCTCAATTTCAAGATGATCAACAAGACTATTCTTATAGTGTTTTAAGCAGGATTATGGTAAGTTGATTAGTTTGCGTATATAAATTTATTGTATGTATTAATATCAAATATTTTTGTTAGATGTGCGTTGAAGCCGGGAGACCGCTTATCTTGACGGACTTAGAGATTATTTATGGTATTCGCTTTATCTACATTTACTTGCTTAAATCATTAAATCACTTCATTAATTTTTATGAAACTGTTATAATTTTCCTTTATAAAGGCGCTCTTTATGACTTATGGAATCAGAATTATATTGTATTTGGAAGTAAAAATGATCCAAAATATTATACTCGTGTTGCGCTCGGAGCATATTCAAATCCTATGTTGTAAGTTACTATGCGAATATATTTTATTTATTAATTAAAAATTAATAAAAATATCTAATATTTATTTATTCTCCAAAGATACGTCCATAAGAGCTTTAGATGTATTTTGGTTCTTGATGAAAAAAAATTAGCAACAGCTGATCCGCCGTTACTAAATAGATTTGAAAAACAAAGGATGACAATTGATGACACTCTTACCGATAATCATCATAAAATAGTTAAAATTCTAAGAACTTGGACACAACAGATGGTTTCTTTGGTAGGAACGGAGAACATTAATGCAGCGAGAACTTCTTTTACACAAAAGGATCTTTTTATTGGTTTTGATAAAAATGAAACTTTGCAAAGTTTAGTGATTGATATTATGACAAAATTCCCTAATGATAATGAAGAAGCAATTGTTAAAAGATGTAAAGCAGCTTTAATTGACATTGCATCTTCCGATGGAATTATTAGGGCCACAAAATCAAATGTAGATCCTGGTGAAATTAATCTATGGAACAATGTTTATTTCCGCAACTTTACTGACGAACATATTCCACTACAGAATCATGATAGTCTTAGTACATTTTTTGGACAGCTTGTGTATGCAGACACGGAAATAACAAGATTTATTATTAATACTTTTTCCAACATTAATACAGACGTTACTGAGTGTTTAAAGCATCTCTTCACATGCCAAGTTGATAAATTATCAACATTTAAGACGGAGTCTCAACTTCAGAATCGAATTAAACGGTTTTGGGAGGAATCAGATGAACTAATGCTAGTTCTTCAATGCGATGTTACTACCGTAAATGCTGGGTGTATTAAGTTGGCAAAATTCATCATTGAGCAATTTCAGGATGAATTTTTGAGGAAAAATCCAAATCAAACTAAATATGTTTGTATTATTCTCCACATCCAACGAGATCAGAATTATATGTCTTCGTTTAATTTCATGTGCGGATGGAAACAAGTTACAATCGAGACTTTAACATCACAAGAGAAGCATCTGTCAACTATCTTAAACGGTTCTTTAGCTGATATTATTAAGAACGAATACAAATTTGAGGAAATTTTAAAGCATGAACTGCTGTGGTGTTTGTTATGTATAAAGTATCCGTCTACTTCGAAATCAGTCGATCACATAAGGTGAGTTGATTTTTTTTCTTGAGATTATAAATTCGATATATAATAATAATTATTATTTTTATAGAACCTTGAAAACAGACATCATGAAGAGTCCTCTCCTTATTGAATGTTTAAAAGAACGTGCATTAATATGGATAGAGGAAAACTCCACAGATGATTGGCAATATAAAGTTGCATCTGATAAAAAATTATTATATCCGTACCCATCTTTTTCTGCCGCATTGTTGGCTTATCTTCGATCATTTGTTAGACGTCCAATCGCTAAAATGTTATTTTCTCTTGAAAAATTGTCAGTTACTAAAACATTCATATCAATAAGTCAAAAGAAAAGAAACGAGACTTTAATTACGTTTTTACGAACAATGTTCATGGACCCAAAAGTCCTGAATACCAATGACTTGCTTGAACCAAGACCTGATCAATATGTGATGCCAGAACTATTTTATGATTTAAAATTCCCATTTTCATATTATTTTATGAAAAAAATTAATGAATTCAGGACCACATGGGAAGATGTACTTGCAAAACTTAGAGAGAATCCAGAAAACTGTGACGATGATCAAGGACTTTCACATGACGTTTATGAAACTGCCGTTAGAGGATTTAGTGAGAATGTCATAGCATCACTTACGGCTCTCAATGATCAAGTTTTTAATGACTTTTCTGAATGGTTTTTTGAAGATTTTATAACTTTTATAATTGCAAATGATGCCGATAAGAAAGATTCTGAGTTGCTTGCTAGATTAATACGGCAACATATCGGAAAAGATAAAGTACTCGATCCAGTTCTACTTCATATCTATTGGTGGAAAAGTTCTAATATTATATCGGCAGATTTACAATTAGCACAAATGTGTCCATCAGCTATAAATGAATTTGCGCAGGAAATGCCAGATATTTCATTTGAGGAATTTCTTGTCGATAAAGTTATAAAAACGATGCTAGATAAAATTGTAAAAAAAGGCGGCGAACCTCAATTGGATCAATGGCAACATGAAGTTGTCAAGATTTTATCATTTAGTGCAAAGATTTTGAAACCAAATAAATTAAGATCATATCAATTATTACGTAT